CGCCGTGGGGGCTGTTGGTGACAGGCAGGGCTGGTCTGCCGCCCTTACCGCCCAGGGGGCGGCCAGATCTCCTCAAGAAGACGCCTCCTAGCCGTGACTCCAGCTGCCTGGAGACGCGGCTTTTCCACCCGCACCATCTCATCGGGGTGGGGGAGTGGAATTCGCCAGCAGCGGACACCATCCCTCAGAAATCGGAAGCTGTGTTAGGGATAATGGTGGAACGTACAGCTTAGGAGGCTTTCTGCGTGGGTTGGTTCCGTGTGGTGATCAGTCAGATATTGAATATACATATATATATTTCAATTCTCCAAGTTGGCGATTTTCCTTGCATGTTTGAGTGTGTGAGAGAGACCTTTTGAGTATTTCCCAGAACGTTTTTGATAGCTAATACCTTTAGAAGAATATGTGCATCAGTCCCAATACGGTCCTTTCTCGTGTCAAAATAAGCACAATACTGAGGGCTGTGTTTAAAGCAAAAATAGAAGGAGGGTGGAATGGGGGAGGAAGTTTGGTTGTTTTTTTGTTTTTCTCTTTGGGTGAAAATTTTTGTTAAGCATTCAGACACAACACTTGCAATATGGAATAATTTAAACTGTTGCTTAAGATTTGGGGGAAGTTCCTTTGTCTCAAGAAAACATATAATCTTCACCAGATGGCCAGATTTCCCGACTAACAACTTCATAAAAATACTATGTAAATAAGAAAGAGGGGAGGAAAATACAGGCATACCCCCACATGACGCAGCGTATTTATCTTGGATATGTTGCTTTGTTTGGTTTTTACGATGCCTTCTTAAAAGTAACTGCAAAATATTCAAACTTAGCATCAGGTTTAAAGTTTCCTTTTTCCCTCTAACCAAAACAGGAGTAAGAAATGGAGATGATGACTGAGAAACAGAGAGATACGAGATATTTCTGGAACAACACACCTGGAAAAAGTGATTATGAGGCTGTAGAAGCCCTTATTTCTATGAGTTGCAACTGGAAATCTGACTTCAAAAAACATGCAGAAATGAGACCTATAACTCCAGCGTCTGATATGTCAGAAGAGAGTGACGAGACTTTGCTTCCTGGAGCAGCAGACTTTAGTGCGATACCAGCATTTGTAAGTTTTTAAATTTGTACATGTGTGTGCTTGTTTTTAACAACTAGTGTGGTGATGTGTTGGTAACGTGCCCACCCCTTACTGTGTCTCTCTCCCGTGCACAGTGCCTGACCCCCCCCTACAGCCCTTCTGACTTGGAGATGTCACAGGTAGTCCATCCTGGGGCACCGGTGCCTGCCACAGCGCTCAGCAATGCTGCCAAACCTCTTCTGGCTGCGCCTCGGAGAGAAGCGGAGAGGCCTCCAGCAGCTGGGCCTCTGAAAGCTCAAGCGACGAGTGTTATCCGCCATACGGCTGATGCCCAGCTTTGCAATCACAAAACCTGCCCAGTGAGAACAGCCAGCGTGCTGAAATACCAGGACAGTGTTTCGAGGGAAACGAGCAGTAAGCAAAATGCTGAAGCAGAACATGTGGTGTGTTCCGCTGTGGTGCCGAGCAGAGCCAGTGATGAGAGTGGTGAACTGCTGGTGGCAGAAGCAAAAACCACAGAACCAGCTGTCGGTCCGGTGCCCTTGACGAAGCCCTCAGTCAGCGGGCATCAGCCTGTCCCTGGATCGGCGCAGCAGTCAGCGGGAGTGGTACCGCCATGTCCCAGCCAAGGCAGTGGAGCCCCTCCCGTGCCAGTGATTTGTCAAATGGTCCCGCTGCCCGCAAACAACAACGTTGTGACGGCCGTAGTGCCCAACACCACACCAAGCCACCCCCCGGCTCTCTGTCAGCCCATGGTCTTCATGGGCACCCAAGTTCCCAAAGGTGCCGTTATGTTTGTTGTGCCCCAGCCAGTTGTGCAGAGCACAAAGGCTCCCATTATTAGTCCGAATGGCACGAGACTTTCTCCCATTGCCCCTGCTCCCGGCTTTGTACCTTCTGCAGCAAAAACCACTCCTCCAGTTGATTCTTCGAGGATAAGAAGTCACATTTGCAGCTACCCAGGATGTGGGAAGACGTACTTCAAGAGCTCCCATTTGAAGGCTCACGTCAGAACACACACAGGTTGGTCACGGTTGCCGAATGTTAAACATTAACGTAGAAAACTGCAGCTATATACGCAGCTTGTTACGGTTCTAGTCATTACCAGATTCGTTCATGGAACAAGTTGTGGAGCAGCAATGAAATGCTTTTTTTGCCAGCGTGCGTTATAATGCTGCCTAATCTCTGACAGGAAATCTCCCGGAGCGGGAGTTGACTCAGCAGTTTGTTTATGCTGGACTTGCTTCATGTCAGAAGGCGTTCAGTAACGCTTCTTACCAGCATGGAAGCAAGGCCTTGCCCAATGTAGAGAATACTTTTCCAGAGTTAAAGATGCCTTATTAGGCTTCTCCACGAGAATGCCCTTGTCACAAGTCGGTAAAACTTAAAGAGATTCTTTTATGAAGAAATAGTTTGAAGTGGATCCTTATATTCTTACCTTGATTATTTTAGAGTAACTTCTCCATGCCTCAGCTCTTAATCGCAGTAGCAGAAAGAGTCACGTGTGTTTTCACATTGGCTCACGCTGCGCTACCAGAGCTCTGTTACATAAAACGTTATTGCAGGTTGCGTTTCAGAGGGTGGTTTTGGGGCATGCTAAGTCGTCGTCCTCTGCAGTTCTTGTGGAGCGGAAAGTTAAAATCGGCTGTCTTGAGACGTAAAGAGCGTCTCCAACTATTTGGTTCCAGAGAATTGTTAACCATTTGTACTGCTCAGCCTTGAGGATAGCGAGTCTGTATGTTTAAATATTGGTATATAAACAATTTTTCACATTTCATATATATGAATAATTAATATTTATGTACATTTTTGTCTCAACTGTCATAATAGAAACTTTTCTTCAAAAAAGTCAAATTCTGCCAGTCAAGGCAGTAGTGTTTCTTGCTTAGTTGGTACTCATGAGGTTTTTGTTCTTTCTTTGTTTTTTTTTTTCTTTTAGGAGAGAAGCCATTTAGTTGTAGTTGGAAAGGCTGTGAGAGAAGGTTTGCACGCTCTGATGAACTGTCTCGCCATCGCAGAACGCATACCGGGGAGAAGAAATTTGCCTGCCCAATGTGTGAGCGGCGGTTCATGAGGAGCGACCACTTAACGAAGCATGCGCGTCGCCACTTATCAGCTAAGAAGTTACCAAACTGGCAAATGGAAGTGAGCAAGCTAAACGATATTGCTGTGCCGCCAACATCTGCGACTGCGCAGTGAAAGGACTTCACCTGAAGACGGTGGAATTAACTGTTGTCACTGGGATATGCCAGCTGAAAAAAGGCTTTTGCTCCCGGTCTGTGGTTCTCCTGCGCCGGCTGCCACTGGCAGTGCAGCAGAGAGGCAAAGGCACTCTGTGCTCAGTCACAAAAAATGTTTCTGGGAGAACCGGTGGCTGATTGGAATAGCGGGTGTCTTTTGCACTGGTAAGGAGAGAGAGAAAGGGAAGGTTCTAGAGCAGAGCAGCACACATTGTGCCAGTTTTGAATTTTGCAAATTGTTCGTACATACTCTAGATCAGTCACGTGTAGGTGTTACTGAAGGTTTGCTGCTGACACTTGAGACCAACTCTGATTTTAACTTTCAGTTGTCAGTCCTCAGCACAGCACAGACTAGGAAGACAGCAATGCACATGCGCAGGCTTGAGAGCCCAGGACGCACCTGCGTAAGATAATCTAAATCGGTTTTCCTACTCCTGCCACTTTTTCTTGGTAGGAGTCTTTTCCTCCCCTCTGTTCTCTGGCCCTGTCATAAGCAATGCTTTGGTGCCAGGCGCCTGGAGTTTGGAGACCTCTTCTCCTGCACAGGGTGTTCAGCGCACCCAGCTTTACCCTGCTGTCCAGAGGGGCACGGAATGGGCGTTGGGGGGCACCGCCTGGGCCGCTGGAGGGCAGGAATGTTTCTGAATCCTCATCAGCTCTGTAAGATTTTCCCAGCTTCTCTGGCAAGCTTTGTGATTATTACAATTGGTTATACCCGGGCATCGTACGATGCTTCCGCTTTTCTGTTGCTTACGGTTTCCTTTATACTTTCTCACAATTGTGTACCGCTGCATTTTTCATAAACGGACACAGTGCACTTTTAAGAGAAACATTTTACCTGTAAACTACTCGGGCTGATTAAGGAAGAAAACCAAGAATTTTAGGCTTCTTGATCATGTTATTCTTTGAAAGATGGTTTATACTAAAAATGAAATGGATATATTATGTATTGTATTAAATTAGAAAGTTGTGATTCGAAAAGTAAGATGAGGCAGTAAGGACACCGGCCTAGAATTTTTAAACTCTAGCTTTTGTGACAAATAATGCATCAACTTTCACTATTTCTATTTTATCATATTATGTTGAAGACACTTACCGGAAAGCGAACAGTTTGAAAATAGTGTATTAGATATGCTTTTTGTGACTACTTTAAAGATTTGCACATTTCTTATGTTGTACTTTATACTTTGTTTACAATAAAACCAATCTTCTTTAATATAGACCTTTTTTTTTTCTTTTAATTCATAGCAGAACTTATCCCTTTGCGAGGAAAATAACCTCAAAACAAAATACAGTGTCCATCATTATGTGTCCTCACCAATGAAACACTATCTCTTAACTTTTCATTATTTTTTTTTTTAAGCTCTATAAAGCCCACAGGAGTGGGATTTCAAGCCTGCACTTATAACAAAACAGAAACCCAGAGTAGTGGGCTTTTGGTTTGGGTTTTTTTTTTCCTCCACGCTCTTCGTTCCCCCTCTCCTTTTCTTCAGGCACCCAAAAATAACTCTGCTTATGTGTGCCATTGTAACGCTGGTGAAAAGTATTTCCTTTTTGTTGGTGATGGAACTGCACCATCTTCCCCGGGATGGAACCCAGGCCCTGCTTCTGACAGCCGGGCCCTTAGGCGGAGGGGGTGGCTGCCGGCCCCGCAGCGAGGGATCCGGACCCGCGCGGCATCCCAGGGCCAGGCGGAAGGCAGTGCTGGTGCAAGGATGCGCACCTGCTGTCCTTGTTCTCCATGGCAGGGCTTTGGCCGCCACCGTTAGAGCTGGCTCCTACGGGAGATTCCTGCGGGGAAGAGGGCAGGGAGGTGGGGTTTCACCTTCTCGGGACAGCGGGTGGGCAGCAGGGTTTCTCTGCTGCCTGCGGCCCCTGCGTGCCAGGGGTGGCGGCTGAGCGCTCCCGGCGTGGGCACTTCCACCTCCTGCTCTGGCTCCCCTGCCCGCAGGGATCCCTGGATTTCACGGTTGCCTGGCTGTTGACTCACTCCGCTGCCCTGCGGGGTGTTTGGGGCAGGGCCACTCCCTACCTTGTCCTGTTTGACGTAGTGCCCTGCGTAGGGAAAACTTGAGTCATTGCCCTTTCTTCTTGTTCCAGGGGGAATGCCCCATCATAGCCCAATGCAAAAGACTTCCGCTCAGGAGTGCGAGTCCCACTCCACCATCTTGCTTCCAGATATTTTACGTTTCATGGGCATAAGATAAAATACTGTCACTCCTCTGGGGCTGAAACTCTTCCATGCCCACAACTAGCCCCGTTGGGCTAGGAACCCAGGTCCCCTTGCCAGCTCCGCCTGGCACGCTGAACCCTGAATCCAGTTTTGTGCCGTGGCCCCACATCAGAAGAGCATAAAGGAGGTGCCGCTCCCCATCGTTACCCTGCCCAGGCCGAGCTGCCCGAGGCTTTCCTCGGCAGCGCGTGCGGTGGGCTTTGAACCCCTCTAGCTCGGCAGGGAGCTGAACTGAAATCCGACTTCCCAGGTGAGTGCTCTCACGCTGCTGTGCAATAAAAGGGGAAGAAAAGGAGTTTCCGTGCTGTGGGCATCTCCGCTGCCTGTGTTTTCTGAAGAAAAAGCAGCTGCTGGTGCTTTTTTGTGGCAGCCAGCTCAGGAGGTGTGCACGGGGCCTGCCCTGAGAGCACCCGCTGGCGGCACCGCTGGGGAGGCTGCAGAGGAAAGCCTGCTTCTGGCATTGCTGTGAGCTAAATACAATACGGTTTCTCACTCTAAATACAGAACTTCACAGTAAGAAGTGCAATTCTGACTGGTTCCAGCCGAAGGCAGAGCTGTAATTGTGAATTTACCTCACATGCCATTTTTTAAAGCTTAACCATGGATATTAAACCAGCTGTTTGGGGTTTAATCCGAGTCTGACCAGAAAAATGTAGTTGAAAGGGCATTACTAGACACCTTTTCAATGCTGACTTTATTGTGCAATCAAATTTGATAGCATAGTAGGAAACTTAATTTTTATGAATTTTCTACAGATTTTTGTGAATATTTAGAATTTCCTTACTCCTGTACATAAACCAAGAGCACACCTCGTATTTTGTCCTAGTTGGGTTTAATAATGAAGC